TCTGTGACGAGACAACTGGTTCTGTGGATGAGGGGAAAGCAGTGGACGTGTTGTTCCTTGACTTTAGCAAAGCATTTGACATGGTCTCCAACAGTATTCTTGCCAGCAAGTTAAAGAAGTATGGGCTGGATGAATGGATGATAAGGTGGATAGAAAGCTGGCTAGATTGTCGGGCTCAACGGGTAGTGATCAATGGCTCCATGTCTAGTTGGCAGCCAGTATCAAGTGGAGTGCACCAAGGGTTGGTCCTTGGGCCGGTTTTGTTTAATATCTTCATTAATGATCTGGAGGATGGTGTGGATTGCACCCTCAGCAAGTCTGCAGATGACACTAAACTGGGAGGAGAGGTAGATATGCTGGAGGGCAGGGATAGGGTACAGAGGGCACTAGACAAATTAGAGAATTCAGCCAAAAGAAATCTGAGGTTCAACAAGGACAAGTGCAGAGTCCTGCACTTAAGACAGAAGAATCCCATGAACCGCTACAGACTAGGGACCGAATGGCTAGGCAGCAGTTCTGCAGAAAAGGACCTAGGGGTTACAGTGAATGAGAAGTTGGATATGAGTCAACAGTGTGCCCTTGTTGCCAAGAAGGCCAATGGCATTTTGGGATGTATATGTAGGGGCATTGCCAGCAGATTGAAGGACATGATCGTTCCCCTCTATTCGACACTGGTGAGGCCTCATCTGGAGTACTGTGTCCAGTTTTGGGCCCCACACTACAAGAAGGATGTGGAAAAATTGGAAAGAGTCCAGCGGAGGGCAACAAAAATGATTAGGGGACTGGAACACGTGAGTTATGAGGAGAGGCTGAGGGAACTGGGATTGTTTAGTCTACAGAAGAGAAGAATGAGGGGGGATTTGATAGCTGCTTTCAACTACCTGCAAGGGGGTTCTAAAGAGGATGGATCTAGACTGTTCTCCGTGGTAGTGGATGACAGAACAAGGAGTAATGGTCTCAAGTTGCAGTGGGGGAGGTTTAGGTTGGATATTAGGAAAAACTTTTTCACTCAGAGGGTGGTGAAACACTGGAATGGGTTATCTAGGGAGGTGGTGGAATCTCCTTCCTTAGATGTATTTAAGGTCAGGCTTGACAAAGCCCTGGCTGGGATGATTTAGTTGGGGATTGGTTTGCGTTGAGCAGGGGGTTGGACTAGATGACCTCCTGAGGTCCCTTCCAACCCTGATATTCTGTGATTCTGTGATTCTGTGAAGTTAAGCACCAATGTTGACACAAGAACAAATGGATATAAACTGGCCATCAACATGTTTAGGCTTTAAATTAAGCTAATGTTTCTAACCATCAGAGGAGTGAAGTTCTGAAACAACCTCCCAAGGGGAGCAGTGGAGACAAAAAAACTAACTTGTTTCAAGACTGAGCTTGATAAGTTTATGGAGGGGATGGTATGACGAGACTGCCTACAATGGCATGTAACCGATCTCCGACTGCTAGCAGCAAATATCTCTGATGGCTGGTGATGAGACACTAGATGGGGTGGGATCTGAGTTACTAGAGAGAATTCTTTCCCAGGTGTCTGGCTGGTGGGTCTTGCCCACAGGCTCAGGGTCTAACTGGTCGCCATATTTGGGGTTGAGAAGGAATTTTCCCCCAGGTCAGATTGGCAGGGACCCTAGGGGGATTTTGTCTTCCTCTGCAATGTGGGGCACAGTCCAGGAGAGCTGGCTGTATTTCAAGGAATCCCTGTTGAGGTTACAGGGACAAACCATCCCGATGAGTCGAAAGAATAGTAAATATGGCAGGCGACCAGCTTGGCTTAATGGTGAAATCTTAGCGGATCTTAAACATAAAAAAGAAGCTTACAAGAAGTGGAAGGTTGGACATATGACCAGGGAAGAGTATAAAAATATTGCTCGGGCATGTAGGAATGTTATCAGGAGGGCCAAATCGCACCTGGAGCTGCAGCTAGCCAGAGATGTCAAGAGTAACAAGAAGGGTTTCTTCAGGTATGTTGGCAACAAGAAGAAAGCCAAGGAATGTGTGGGCCCCTTACTGAATGAGGGAGGCAAACTAGTGACAGAGGATGTGGAAAAAGCTAATGTACTCAATGCTTTTTTTGCCTCTGTTTTCACTAACAAGGTCAGCTCCCAGACTGCTACGCTGGGCATCACAAAATGGGGAAGAGATGGCCAGCCCTCTGTGGAGATAGAGGTGGTTAGGGACTATTTAGAAAAGCTGGACGTGCACAAGTCCATGGGGCCGGACGAGTTGCATCCGAGAGTGCTGAAGGAATTGGCGGCTGTGATTGCAGAGCCATTGGCCATTATCTTTGAAAACTCGTGGCGAAGGGGAAGTCCCAGATGACTGGAAAAAGGCTAATGTAGTGCCAATCTTTAAAAAAGGGAAGAAGGAGGATCCTGGGAACTACAGGCCAGTCAGCCTCACTTCAGTCCCTGGAAAAATCATGGAGCAGGTCCTCAAAGAATCAATCCTGAAGCACTTGCATGAGAGGAAAGTGATCAGGAACAGCCAGCATGGATTCACCAAGGGAAGGTCATGTCTGACTAATCTAATCGCCTTTTATGATGAGATTACTGGTTCTGTGGATGAAGGGAAAGCAGTGGATGTGTTGTTTCTTGACTTTAGCAAAGCTTTTGACACGGTCTCCCACAGTATTCTTGTCAGCAAGTTAAGGAAGTATGGGCTGGATGAATGCACTACAAGGTGGGTAGAAAGCTGGCTAGATTGTCGGGCTCAACGGGTAGTGATCAATGGCTCCATATCTAGTTGGCAGCCGGTATCAAGTGGAGTACCCCAGGGGTCGGTCCTGGGGCCGGTTTTGTTCAATATCTTCATAAATGATCTGGAGGATGGTGTGGATTGCACTCTCAGCAAATTTGCGGATGATACTAAACTGGGAGGAGTGGTAGATACGCTGGAGGGGAGGGATAGGATACAGAAAGACCTAGACAAATTGGAGGATTGGGCCAAAAGAAATCTGATGAGGTTCAATAAGGATAAGTGCAGGGTCCTGCACTTAGGACGGAAGAACCCAATGCACAGCTACAGACTAGGGACCGAATGGCTAGGCAGCAGTTCTGCGGAAAAGGACCTAGGGGTGACAGTGGACGAGAAGCTGGATATGAGTCAGCAGTGTGCCCTTGTTGCCAAGAAGGCCAATGGCATTTTGGGATGTATAAGTAGGGGCATAGCGAGCAGATCAAGGGACGTGATCGTTCCCCTCTATTCGACATTGGTGAGGCCTCATCTGGAGTACTGTGTCCAGTTTTGGGCCCCACACTTCAAGAAGGATGTGGATAAATTGGAGAGAGTCCAGCGAAGGGCAACAAAAATGATTAGGGGTCTGGAACACATGAGTTATGAGGAGAGGCTGAGGGAGCTGGGATTGTTTAGCCTGCAGAAGAGAAGAATGAGGGGGGATTTGATAGCTGCTTTCAACTACCTGAAAGGGGGTTCCAAAGAGGATGGCTCTAGACTGTTCTCAATGGTAGCAGATGACAGAACGAGGAGTAATGGTCTCAAGCTGCAGTGGGGGAGGTTTAGATTGGATATTAGGAAAAACTTTTTCACTAAGAGGGTGGTGAAACACTGGAATGCGTTACCTAGGGAGGTGGTAGAATCTCCTTCCTTAGAGGTTTTTAAGGTCAGGCTTGACAAAGCCCTGGCTGGGATGATTTAACTGGGAACTGGTCCTGCTTCGAGCAGGGGGTTGGACTAGATGACCTTCTGGGGTCCCTTCCAACCCTTATATTCTATGATTCTATGATTTGCAGGTTTAAACTAGTGTAAATGGTGGATTCTCTCTAACTTGAAGTCTTTAAACCATGATGTGAGGACTTCAATAACTCAACCAGTGTTTAGGGGCATAGGCGCCGACTACTAGGGTGCTCCAGCCCTGGAGCACCCATGGGGAAAAATTAGTGGGTGCTCTGCACCCACCAGCAGCCAAACTCCCCTGACCCCCATCCCACCTCCTCCCCCTCCCCTTCCCCTGAGCGCGCCACATCCCCGCTCCCCTGCCTACCTCCCAGTGCTTCCCTCCGGCTGCCGCCAAACATCCATTTGGCGGCATTAACACACTCGGGGAAGCAGGGGGGGAGGAGCAGGAACATGGCACGCTCAGGGAAGAGGCGGGGCCGGGGTGAGGATTTGGGGAAGGAGTCGAAATATTGCCAGGGAGGGGATGAAGTTGGGGGGCAGGGACTTTGGGAAAGGGGTTGGAATGGGGGTGGGGAAGGGGTGGGAAGAGGCGGGGCCTCATGGAAGGGGTGGAGTGGGGGCGGGACGGGAGGGGTTGAGGACCCAGGGGAAAGAGGGGAAGTTGGCGCCTATGGTCAGGGGTCTATTTCAGGAGTGGATGGGTGAGGTTCTGTGGCCTGCAATGTGCAGGAGGTCAGATTATCATGATGGTCCCTTCTAGTCTTAAAGGCCACAGTCTATGAGCCCGACAGGTCTGCTCTACATCACCGTGGTGGACTTGTGAGGATTTTCTTGAGGTCATCTGTTATCAGACATTATTGTATGAGACCATCTGTGTGCCATGGAGGATTGCTGCTCCCCCGAAACAGGAACCACTTCTGCTTTCCAGCCGTACCACCTCCAATGTGGAGAGAGCACTTTGTGAAATTCCACAGACTCCCATGCCACAGGCAATCTGGTGGAAACAGGACACAGATGACCTGGCTCTCAGCACTCGCACAAGAGTGATAGCCCTTGCCTTCCCCAGCAGTCATCTCTCTGAGAGATTTCAGAGCAGCAGCCGTGTTAGTCTGTATTCGCAAAAAGAAAAGGAGTACTTGTGGCACCTTAGAGACTAACCAATTTATTTGAGCATAAGCTTTCGTGAGCTACAGCTCACTTCATCGGATGCATACTGTGGAAAGTACAGAAGATCTTTTTAATCAGACACAGGGAGGTCTCTGTAACACGCTTCTCACTAATGGGCATGAAGATATTTGCTGTTTCCTGCTAAAGGAGAATATCCCTGTGAGAGGCAAAGAAAAAGCCAGGGGCAGAACAAGTGCACTTGGTGACCCTATTTACTAGCAGGTCGTTTATTGGAACTGCAAAGGGTACACGGGCGTAAGGGAACCCCGTTATTAATCCAGGGAGCGAGAAAAGGGGGGCCGGGGAGCACGCCAACGCTAGTTCTTGCCACACAGGAGCGTGGCGCTGATTTTCCTGCAATAGCAAAAGGCATTGAAGAAGCGGCAGTAGCAGGTGGCACAAGGATCACAGCAGGGGAGCTGGTGCCCAAGGCAGGATTCCAGCAAGCGGACACATCTGCGGGGAGCGCGCTCCTCTCGGCCCTGAGCCTCCAGTGCAGCAGACAACACCTGCAGGAGGAGCAAAAGAAAAGGGGTTTCATACAGGACAACCATGCACATGAATGGCGAACCGCTCAGTGTGTCCTTGGGACCCCCGTCGGCATGCTGTGTGAGGGCGGAGGTTTAAACATTTGCTGTGCTTGCACTGAAGTTGGATTGATTTGGGGGTGCTGCACGTTGGTTTCATCAGGTCTCCAGAAAGGGACATGGAGCAGGTGCACAGGCATATGCCAGAACTGGCTCCGCGGGGGAAAGAGAGTGCCCTGAAGATGATATCCATTTACAGAGGGTCTGAACCACAATGTCACGGTATGTCCCCATATCTCCAGGGAAGGGTACACAAACCTGGTGAGTCTGGCCTGGAAGTCCAGGCCCCGTATTCTCTGCAGCAAAGTCCCCAGACTCTGGTGACATTGGGTGGTAGCTTCAGATAAAAGTGAGGTTTGTAGATGTAAGCAATGTCAGGATGAGCTCCACCCTGACATCTGGTGGTGAGGTGTGGCAAGTTGTGGAAAAGAACTTCAGGGGCTGATCTCATTTGCATAGGCACACCCACCCCACCTAGAATGAGGCCATAGCTGCCCAAATGGTCACTTTGGCTGCTATGGGATCCCCAGTGTCTCTGTTATTGGGGCAGGAAGAATAAATTGTTATTACCCTGATTATGGGAACTGTGCTTGGAACTGTACTTGGCCTTTTGTTATGATGGAGGGACTCACCATCAACTAAGTAGCACTCTCTAGGCAAGGGTCATGGGTTCCAAAACTCTGTGAATTGAGAGAGGTTGGGGACAAGTATTAATGCTTGGTGGTATGAGCCCCTTGGTGAGGGCCTTATGTGCTAATTGCACTTCCTCCTCTCTCCACAGTAGAATATCAGAGCTAATTTTGATTCTATTAGGAGTCTAGTTACAGGCTGCAGAGCTCACTGTGGGCTAATGGTGCACCAGCACTGAGGCTCCCCTACTACAAGCTGAATTCACCAAAGAGCTGAACTGACTAAGAGCTGAAATCACTGAGCATTGTGTTAAGTAGTGGGGGAGCCTGAAGATATATTGTGGAGCAGTTTGCGGGAGGGCTGGAGTGCCTTGTGGACAGGCTGGTGGAGCAGTTCATAGGATGGCGGGAGCTGCTTGTGGGCCGCGGAGCGAAGCAGTTTGTGGGGCGGCTGGTGGAGTGGAGTGGAGCGGAGCGGAGCGGAGCAGGAGCTGTGGGGCGGTCAGCTTCAGATCATGCAAGGTGTCTTTTACTCCCACCCCCATCTCCACCCAGGTTGGGAGGTAAAGCTCTGCAGATAAACTTTTGAACTCTGGGGCTGCCCTGACCAGGGACAGAGACTTTTGAGTCATTGGACTTTGGGTGATTTGGGGTTGCTGGACTCAAGAACCAAAGAAAAAGGGCATGCCCCAATTTGCTTGGGGTGGGTTTTTTGCTCATGGGTTGTGTTATGAATCCTGTTGGTGGTGTTTCCCCAACATAATGCCACATTGTTTCTCTCTGTTATTAAAAGGCTTTTTGCTACACTCAGACTAGGTGCTTGCGAGAGGGGAAGTATTGCCTCTTGGAGGCGCCCAGCGGGGTGGTATATATTTGTCCCAGGTCACTGGGTGGGGGCTCGAGCCAGTTTGCATTGTGTTATTGGAATGGATCCCCTAGATATGGAACCCGGCCCTTGTTGCTGCCAACTCTGACGGGCAGAAGGGTTACATAATGAATTAACCATGTAAACAGATAGTGACCCAATCCATGCAGCAGCCTCCAGACTGGTTATCTTGTTATTGATTTCAATTTATTTTATACTCGCCTCACATTTTAGTTTTCAGTGGATTTCTGTATTGACAACCCATAACACACCTCAGCAGTTGCCAGGCATGGGAGAGCTGAAGGTTTTAGCATCGGGGATGATAGGGATAGTTAGGGCTTGGGGCACACGGAGACTGTGAGGAGTCATTTGTTGGATGTTTCTACTAAAATGATCAGCGGTGAGACAGTGACCAATACTGACATTTAAACTGTCATCTTTAGGTTTGGGAATGAACATGTCATTGAGCTGAATGGTGTAATTCGCACCTCACACAGCGCTTGTCTCAGGCTCTCTACAGACTCAGGCAGACAATCCTGCATCTGTTACACTAGAATCATGTGTAAGATTTTCTTCACAACCATGAAAAGTAGCAATGAAATCTCAGCTTCTTGAGCACAAGAGCGTGGCAGGGAGTGAATTGCTCAGCGGTAGACCACTGGCCTGTGCTCTGCAGGAAGTCAGACTAGGTGATCACAGTGGTCCCTCCTGGCCTAAGAATCTAGGAATCTGTGACATGTCTCAGAATACATCTAGTCTGGTAGAATCTCCTTCCTTAGAGGTTTTTAAGGTCAGGCTTGACAAAGCCCTGGCTGGGATGATTTAACTGGGAATTGGTCCTGCTTCGAGCAGGGGGTTGGACTAGATGACCTTCAGGGGTCCCTTCCAACCCTGATATTCTATGATTCTATGATTCTAGTCAGTGAGACGATGTTAGTAACCCCCCAGGGGTCATAGGAAGTTACCTCTGGCTCCAGTACACTGGCTTCCTGCATGAGGTCCTCATCAGCTACACGGAGCTCCATAGCCATCCTGTCAAACCCAGGTCTTGGTAAAGTCCCTGTGGAATACAGACAGGGTGAAGGACGCTGCTGATTGGCTCCTGGGGACTGGCTGAGCCAGAGCTCCACTCCGACCCGACACCCCCCCCCCCACACACACACACACTTCTCTACAATCCAGAGTGAAGGGGGACAGGGAGAGATTAAATGGTCACAAATGTCACTAAACAATGATGAGCCGCAGAGGTGCAACGGACTCACCAATCTGGGACAAGTCTAAACACACACAGAACGGCTCCCATCTGCCCACCACCTTCACTGGGTGCGGCCTGCAGATCTCAATGCCCCAGGCTGAGTCCCATGGGAAAGAAGCCCCCAAGATCTCGATCATGCCCTTCCTGTGTTAGCTGGGAGCCGGTTGCACTTCTCCTGTCCAACAACTCAGAACCCAGGCTCAGGAGTGACAGAGCCAAACAAGGGAGAAAAAGTCCAATATTGTTACACTCTTAGTTATTGTCAGTCACATTCGCAGTAAGGAGATCCTGCAGGGCAGGAGGGGATCTCCATCACTGCCCAGTGCTTCCTGCAGATCCCCGTGCACAGGGGATCGAGAAGATCCTGCAGCAGGAGGGGATCTCCGTCACCGCCTGGTACTTCCTGCAGATCCCCATGCATGGAGGATAGGGGAGATCCTGCAGGGCAAGAGGGGATCTCCATCACCGCCCGGTGCTTCCCACGCAGATCCCCATGCTCAGGGGATAGGGGGGATTCTGCAGGGCAGGAGGGGATCTCCATCACCCCCGGTGCTTCCTGCAGATACCCACACACAGGGGATGGTAGGATCCTGCAGGGCAGGAGGGGATCTCCATCACCGCCCAGTGCTGCCTGCAGATCCCCGTGCACAGGGGATCGAGAAGATCCAACAGCAGGAGGGGATCTCCATCACTGCCCAGTGCTGCCTGCAGATCCCCATGCACAGGGGATGGGGGGATCCTGCAGGGCAGGAGGGGATCTCCATCACTGCCCAGTCTTCCCTGTAGATGCCTGTGCATGGGGAAAAGGGGGGATCCTGCAGGGCAGGAGGATCTCTATTTACCTCATAGGATAACATGCAGTAATTTGCAGAGTCAGCCAGGTATCAAGTTACAAGTCTGGGTGTGGCTATGCTAATTAGGGGATGCAATGTTGCCATGGAAATGACTAAGCTTGTGAGGGATGCTGTGCCAACCAGGGACCGACTGTGTTCCTGCCTTGTGTGAGTGAGCTGGGGCAGGAGCAGAAGGGTGAGCCATTTCTCCTGACACACCAGACCCTGGGTGTGGTTCTGAACATCACACCCCTCGAGGGAAGCTGGGCTCTCCCAGGACGAGGTGCTGCGTTTCTTTAAATGGTTCCGCTTTTCCTAGGCTCATAGACTTTACAGCCAGACAGGACCGTCAGGATCATCTAGTCTGACGTCCTGCCGGTGAACTGGAACGAAGCAGCAGCACTGCTTGTGGCCACTGCCATGTGCCAATTAGCTCACTGCTCATTGCTCTCATCGGGGAGGCAAGGCAGCTCAACACTCACCTGCGGGCCCCACGGGTGCCTCCTTGAATTTCTGCAGAAGGCTGGGGTAGCTGGACTTCTCTGCCCCATCCAGAATGGGGCGCAGCTCTGACAGGTGGCTGCTGCTGAGGTCAGAGGTGAGGATGGCCTGGATTCCCTGCAGCACTCCCCAACCCAGCAACAGCATATTCAGCATGATCCCCCAGAACCTGCACAACAGGAGGAGGATCAGGAGCTGGGCACAAAGGCCGAAGTTCAAAAAGTCCGTTCTGCGGGCTGAATGATAGGACATGGCTTAAACACAAGCTCCATTCCCTGGTAAATTAATCACTGAACTGATCATCTCAGGTGGACGCTGTACTAAGAGGGAGGGTGCCTGCCTGCCTGGCTGGCTGCACGGCAAACAGGCAAGGCCTAGAGTCGCTCACCATGTTTATTCACTTGAACGAAAGACGAAGAGCCTGAGCACTGGGAATGGACTCTGGGTACGGTACCTGCACTCGGTGGTGGCAACTCTCCTGATTTCATCATGAGTCTCATGATTTGTGTTGTATTTCTTAAAGCCCCAGCTGCTGGAGTCAGCTGATCGCATGAGAATCTTAGCTTTCATCAAAAAAAGAAAAGTAAGCTTCCAGCCTTCCTGGTTGCAAAGAAAACCTTGGAACCATGAAGTGACTCCCCTAAAGGCTCAGGAACTAGAAGACAGATAAAAAGAACCTGGCTGGTGTTTTCAGGCTGAGAAGATCCCATTTCTCTGGTTTGCCTGAATACCCAGACAGGCCTGCCATGGCTTAGAGAGGAGTCCACTCTGGCGGGGGGCACCTGGCCTAGCTGCTACTTCCAGGTTCCATGACTTTGCCAGCTGCCCGCCAGTCCTGCCTTGTGATTCACACACTGCTGATGGAAGGCAGCCTTTGGCCTGGGTGAGCTGCACAGCTTCACAGATGCAGCTCAGGCCACATTGTTCTCTGAGAGGATGAACAGTTTCCAATGAAGGGATCCCCAAATCTAGGAAATAGAGGGCCTGGGCACTCCAGCCCTGACTCGCTAGAGAAAACAAGCATTGGCGTAGGGGACTCCTGAAGCCCTCTATTTCTTCACTGGAAACCGTTCATCCTCTCCGAGAACCATGCCACCTGAGCCGTGTCTGTGAAGATGTGCCGCTCACCCCGCATGTGTAACATACCAGGATACAATCCAGACTAATGAGCCGCTGTGGCACCCGTGCCCTGCAGCCTTGGGTGCCCCACAATGCCTTGCTGTAATAGCAACTCACCAACAGCCTTCTAGCATGCAAGCCACGCCCCGAGTGTCCGTGTGTGACTGCAGCCTGACAGCCACACCTGGGTTACATTCCGGCTCTCAGTGGCCTTGGTTATACTGCAGGGTTACCCCAATACACCCCAGTCTTAGATCTTCCTCCAGAAATGTATGTCCTGTACCACCCAGCCCTCTCCTGGACAATACAAGCTATGTTAGGTCCGTTATTTCTTTAAAAGGAACACTATGCACACAACTTGCCACCCCAAATGGAGTTTCCCAGACCCTTCAATTTAAACGCACTGGATTAGATAAAACAATAAAACAAGTGTGTTAATTAGAGAAAGAGATTTTAAGTGAGCACAAGGAATGAGGCATAAAAGTCAGAAATGGTTATAAAGAAAATAAAGATAAAACTCTACTGGTGCCTAACTCAATAAACTATGTTAAATTCAAAGCAAAGTTTTCTCACCACCTGCTTTCAGCAGTCTGACTGACCAAACTTCTTACGGCAGGAGCCCACCCCTAGTCCAACAGCTGCTTCCTTTATATCCCTTCAGGTGCAGTGAATCAATGGGCAGGGGGAAAGCGGGGTGTCCCTTGGGGTGTTGGTCCCTCTTATTTATAGTTTCAGTCCTCATTTTGAAAAATATTTTCAGCTGAGAACCAGGAGACAAAACGTCTGTGTGGAAGGATGTTCCCTGTGGGTTTGTTCTCACCTGTTTGCACTTCCTTTGTCTCCCCTTCCTGCTTGATGACTCAGTTTACTGCTTAAATGCACACTAAGCAGAGCACACGTTCCTTTATTTGCAACAGACCCGTTTGTCAACCCCATGTGTTAATAACACCATACAGTGGAAGCTCACAGCTTCACTTACAATCTTGCCACAGGTATTTTCCCAGGATGATACTGACCAGCAAGTTACAAGTTTTCAAAGGGTACCTTACAAGGCATACTTTGTGCAAAGGTTAGTGTGTCAGGTGTGAATACAGGGGAGCATTCAGTCACATCGTGTTGCCACAGGATACATCTGAGATGTTTGCTGGTGTCCACTGCCTGCCTCATTAGGAAAGCTATTGTCCTGGTGGGCCAGAAAGCTCCATGGGACAAGCAAACAGACCTGCTGGTGAAGAGGGATTATGAGGCCTCCAATCCAGCTCTCAGAGCCATTCCATTGGTGTGATCACTTCTAAGGCCACTCTCCCTGGAGTTGCCTTGGGCTAGGCACCCTTTCTTCCCCATTTTCCGGACTAACTGGGGTCACCAGGCATTGACTTGAGTCAATAAGACAAATGCAGACACCTCGACTCACTCAGAATAGAGACCGCTCTGGTTCTTGGTGCCTCTTTTTTAGGACATCTCGTGTGATGTCCCCTGTGTCTCATGCTGCTCTCCCCAGATGCTGTGAAGAGAAAGACTCAGCTCCATACCTGGGATATGGACGGCAAGTCCTGTACCCAGGACCTCACAGCTCCATTCAGTGGGAGACCCCCAGCAGCAGCCTTCCGTTAGGGAACTGATCTTGGCAGCCTCCAGTTGCTCAGTGAGGAAACGCAAGGGGGTTGTTTCCTGCTAAGGTACAACTGCAGGGCAGGCTGCAAGCACCCCTTCCTCGAGCAGCCACGGCGACTGGGTGGCCAGCCAGTGACAGGCCTCCTCTCTGCCTGTTTGCACCACGTCACAGTGAAAGTTGCCTCTCCCCAGGGGATTTGGTCGAGGTGGTGTCCTCCCATCGGGTCTGTTCTAGTCCCGGTAAATGCTGGGGGGGGGGCGCTCATCTGGGGCAGTCCCTAGAGTTCTTGCCCACTTCGGCTGTTTCACAAGTGGGTTCTCGCCCTTCCCAGACAAGTGCCTTGCTTTTCTCCAGAGGGCACAGCTGGTTCAGTATTGGGGCATTCATCCCATCCCCAAGAGGAGTGGAGCCGGGGAGAGTGCGTGTGCTGCTTCACGGCCTTTGTCCCTCTCACTACCCATCTTGCACCCCCTCCTGAGAGAGGACCCCATGGTGCAATTGCCCCAGCCCCCAAGCTCAGTGCTGACCCCTCAGAGACACCTCAGACTCCCATAAATTAGACACATTCTCTTCCAGGGGCAGGCTGTGGGGCAGGGCAGGGACAGGGAGTGGGCAGGCTGTGGGGCAGGGCAGAGAAGGGTATGGGGCAGGGCAGAGAGGGGGCATGGGGCAGGCTGTGGGACCAGACAAGGAGGGATGTAGGATAAGCTGTGGTACTGGGCAGGGAGGGGGATGGGGCAGGATGTGGGTCAGGGCAGATGGGGCATGGGGCAGGCTGTGGGACCAGACAAGGAGGGGTAGAGGATAAGCTCTGGGACTGGGCAGGGAGAGGGAGGGGGCAGGCTGTGGAGGGGGCATGGGGCAGACTATGGGGTGATTCTCGGCAGCCTGTCCCACCCCTCACGTCATCTTTGATTCCACACAGCCCACCACTCAGATCATCCCTGATTCCCCGCGGCCTTCCCTCCACAGCGTCCCCATACCCCGTGCCCTGCCCTTCATGTGGTCCAGGATTCCCCAGGACCAGCCCCTCACATTGTCCCTGGGTCTCTCACGTCTCACCTACTCCGAGGCAAGGCAGGTTAAAAGGCTCCCATCTGCTTCTCTCCCTGCAGGTGCAGATGAGGCTCGGCTTGCCTCTGCGCCTGAGTGTCACAAACAACGTGGGGAAAGCTCCTAGGGGAGCAAAGCAATAATGGGGGGCCAGAACAGAGTTACTTAAAGAGGAAACCGAGGAAACGTTGGCAGCGTGGGTAACAGAGCACTCGGGACGGGGCGGTTTCCCAAGCAGATAAATCAGGCCAGAGGTGGAGGAGGAATTTCTAAGATTGGAAGTGAGGGAAGAACCCAGGAAGTGAGGCGAAGAAAATGGGATGGAACAAAATAGACACCGAATATGGGGGGACCTTCCTGCCAGGGCATCGTACTGATCCAGTGAATTGTCTCCTCAGGGAAGCATTGGGAGTCTAGTTCCTTGGCATATTTAAAACAAGCCTAGGCAAAGCCCTCCAGCTCCCATTCCCACCCACCACCTGTGGGTGCATCTCAGTCGCCTGTTGCCTCTTGTTGTGATCTGGACCAGGAGCAATTTGGGCAGGAACTGGCTTTTCCCTGTCTGTCTGTGCAGCACCTGGCACAATGGGCTCCAGCTCCTGGACCAGTCCTTTTGGGCACGACTGCACTGCAAAGAGAACACTACAAAGTCCCTCAGGTGGCAGAACGCCTGGCTGCCCCTGGGTGGATTAAAGGGTTCCACGCAGGGCTGACTCCACCTTTCTTTCACTTCTTTGACCCCTGCACCCAGGTATCATGGAACTAACTCTCCCTTGCTGCGGCACATCGGGGTGGTTTGAAAAGCCATGTAATCAGCACTGGAGTGGGAATCACACGGAGCCCCCGGCTCTCTGCAGTCCAGCTGTCTCAGAGCAAATTCACCTGTTCTCTTGTAGCGTTTCCATTCCCAGCAGAATTTCCCCACCCCGTTCACTGTAGAACTCCCAGAGCTCTGCCCTGCTTCCAGGAAACCTCCACAATAGAGAGCGTCTGAGGAAAGTCACCATCTGAGAGCGGCATGCAAAGCCCTCTGAAATGCATATGCACACCCGCACTCCATCTCCCCAGGAGTGTAACACCACCGCACCCACAGCCCGGTCACCATGAGTTTGCATACACCTTCCCACATAACCCTCACATGCCACAAGTCCTAGACAGAGCACAACACAGCTTTCTTAACATGGTCGTGGGGCTTACCGGGCTCTGCTCTGCTGATCTCTCTGGGAAAGATGCTGTGCCTTTGTGTCTAGATTTCCCCTCTGCTAGCTGAGTGGGGTTTATATTGGCTTTCTGTAATTAAGTACTTCAGCCACATGACTGTGCTAACCTACCAAGTAGGTGGGCTTCTCTGCAATTAGATCTATGAACATATCCTTCCCCAACTGAGGGAAGTCCGGGGCCGGGGGGGGAGAGAATTTGCTTCTCTACACCCTGCCAAGTGACTGGCTCCCTCACTGCCATACGCATCAAATTCAACCACAGACTCACATTGCTTCAAACAAGCCCCGTCTCGGCACCAGCTGCTACATGTATGGATACACTGCAGTCTCAGAAGCATGGTCCTCATGATGCCAAAGGCAGGCATTATCCCTGCCATGACCCTGTTGGGAATCCTGCATTTGTTTCTGGGCACCACCTAACCAGAAATACAGAGTCATCCAGAGGGAGTTAAGAAAAGAGCAACAGAAATTGGCAGTGTGAAGGAACATCTAAGGAGCTAAGGGCCAGACCCCAATTGGTATAATCAGTGGTGCTCCACTAACTCCAATGGTGACTGGCCCCATTGACTCCAAAGGAGAGACCTCAATTTACACCAACTAGGGATCTGGCCCTTAGACTCATAGACTCCTAGACTTTAAGGCCAGAAGGGACCATTATGATCATCTAGTGCAGAGGTTCTCAAACCGTGGTCCATGGACCACCAGTGGTCTGTGAGCTCCATTCAGGTGGTCTGTGGATAGTCCCTTCTAGGGTGCGCACCTGGGCGGCCGCACATGAGACAATGAAGGGCCACCCCCCTAATTAGTGGGGCCACACCTGTGCTAATTAGGTGCCTGGACCCTGGAGAAGACCCACATGTAAGATGAGGTGGTAGCCTTGGGGGGGGAATAGGGGGTAGGTGGGAGGGGGCAGTGGGGTGAGAAGAGGGGTTGGGGGGAATTTGGGACGTGCAGGGCTGCAGCAGCCAGAGATTTTCCCCAGCTCCAGGGCTGCGGCTGCCGGGGAGAAACAGCCCTCCTTCCCAGCCCCAGCTCAGGGGCTGCCGTGGTGAGGAGAGACCCCGCTCCTTCCCAGCCCCAGCTCAGGGGCTGCCGTGATGGGGAGAGACCCCCCTCCTTCCCAGCCCCAGCTCGGGGGCTGCCGTGGTGAGGAGAGACCCCCCTCCTTCCCAGCCCCAGCTCAGGGGCTGCCGGGGCGGGTAAGACTACTGATATTAAAAGATGAGTCATGTGCTTTTATTTGTAGAACAAAAAAACGTTAATTATTATTGAGTTTTTTATACAGCGCTTTTATCCAAAGCGCTTCACAATAGTTAGCTAATGGTACAAACAACATTTGGAAAGAGCATTAAGTGGTCCACGAACCCTCAGCAATTTTCAAGTGGTCAGTGAACAAAAAGTTTGAAAACCACTGAGCTAGTGTGATCTCCTGCACATTGCAAGCCACAGAACCTCACCTGTTCATTCCTATAATAGACCCCTAACCTCTGGCTGAGATACTGAAGTCCTCAAATCTTGATTTAAAGACTTCAAATTACAGGGAATCCATTTACTTTAGTTTCAGACCAGCAAGTGACCCTTGCCCCACACTGCAGAGGAAGGCAAAAAATGGCCAGGGCCTCTGCCAATCTGACCAGCAGGAAGTTCTTTCCCAATCCCAAATATGGCGATCAGTTAGGCCCTGAGCATGCAGGCAAGATCCAAACACCTGGGAAAAATTATCTGCAGTAACTCAGAGCTTTCCCCAGCTAGTGGTTCATTTCTGGCTGTTGGAGATATTTGCTAAAAACAGTCACACTGTAGGCCATACGCCATGGTAGGCAACTTCATCATCCCATCCCCTCCATAAATGTATCAAGCCCAGTCTTGAAACAAGATAGGCTTTTTGCCCCACCACTTCCCTTGGAAGGCTGTTCCAGAACTTCACTCCTCTGATGGTTAGAAACCTTTGTCTAATTTCAAGCCTAAACTTGTTGGTGGCCAGTTTATATCCATTTGCTTTTGTGTCAACACTGGCCCTTAATTTAAATAGCTTATCTCCCTGCCTGGTGTTTATCCCTGTGATGTATTTATAGAGAGCAATCGTATCTCCCGCTCCCATTTTGTGGGTTAAACAAACCAAGATCCTTAAGTCTCCTTTCATAAGACAGGTTTTCCATTCCTCTGACCATCCTAGTAGCTCTTCTCTGCACTAGTTCCAGTTTGTCTTTATTGAATTTTATCTTGTTGGTTTCAGTCCACTTCTTCCATTTGTCAAAGTCATTTTGAATTCTAATCCTGTCTTCCAAAGTACTTTCAATTCCTCCCAGCTTGATGTCATTCACAAATTTTTTAAGCACACTCTCCACTCCATTATCCAAGTCATTAATGAAAATATTGAATAGTACCAGACCCAGGACAGACCCCTGTGGGACCCCACTAGATACACCCTCCCAGTCTGACACTGAACGGTTGATAACTACTCTTTGTGTTCAGTCTTTCAACCGAGTGTGCACCCACCTTATAGTAATTGCATCCAGACCACTTTTCCCTGGTTTGTTTATGAGAATGTCATGTGGGACTGTGTCATGAGCCTTACTAAAATCACATGTAACCCAGCCCTGAATCATGGCTGCAGCCTTATCCCTTTTCTCCTCAGGGGTATGGGTCCTGAGTTCATATGTAAAGGCACCTGGTGCCTCCACCCAAGGAACCCCCTCCTAGTGCATAGAACACAAAGGGCTTGTCCCTGGAGAAAATATTTAACATACAATCTCATACAGAGGAGTGTCAGTCAGAGCACACATGAATAAAACAGCTATCACAATTTCCAGAGTAATAAAACAGTATCCAGAGCTTTATTAGGTCTGGGGAATTCAGGGATACAGGACAATGGGGGAAAAAGAATCTGGATAAGAAAAGATAAAAACAACAATACATAAACTCTACCCCTCCCAACATTTACAGCCAGTACCAACCATGCTGTGCTCCCTCCTCACACCTCTCCAGGCAAATAGTAAACTTAGGCTCAGGTTTTGGTGGGTGGTGCAGCACTGAAGTTGATGGTGGGCTTAAAACAAAATATCAGAATCAACAAGGGTGTTCTTACAAAGTATTCCCACCAAGGATTGTGAGGTCATCCTTGGGGCTCTCTGGTCTGGAATCCAATGTGTAGTTAGGCGGGCTCATGGTAGCCTGACTATTACTCTCCTCAGCCTCCTGAGGTTCTGGTCTCTGCTAAGATGACACTGTTCAATGTCCCAGAAATCCCAAAGGGACCCAAAGTCTTCCTTGGGGTAGGAATGTGGAGGGGAGAAGGGTCCTCTCTGGCTGTGATGCTTCTTGCCTTGCTATGCTCCAAACACAGCCAAAACCGAAAGTAAAATCAAACCCATTTATCTCTGAGTTCTGGCTCATGATTGGTTTTGGTAGTATTGCTAGCCAGTTCTGTCTCTGCCCTGAACCCTAGGCAATCTGGGAAATGGAGTCCTGAACCTTGGCTACCATTGCTACTGTAGTCCAGGGATGATTCCCCTATTCGCTAATTATGGGTTCCAGCCTAGTTTTCACCTGGCATTACCAGCAGCCTTCCCAAACCCAGCCACCACAACTGAGTCCAACAGAGCCTAGAAGAAGTGAAGAAGGCTTATAAGAAGCATGCAGACCATCAGGGACAAGAAGCTTCTGTGTTCACAGTAGGCCAGAGGTTGTGGTTTGCTGACAAGCACCTCCAGAGCAGTCAGCCCTCCCGGAAATTGGACTATCAGTCCAATACACCAGCAGATCATCCTGGTTACCTTTAAACCACAGCTTCCCCAGTCTCCAAACACACCCAGTTTTTTCAGGATTCTCTTCTGAAGCCCTAAGCTGAGAACCCCTTTCCTGATTGAACCACACCATCCCCTCAATTAAGGGGTAACGAGGAGTACAAAGTGCATGCTGTCCTCAATTCCCAATGGGCACCTGTAATGTCTGGTGGACTGGGAAGGCTACAGCCCCAAGAAGCACACTTGGGAACCTACTTCCCATGCCCCTGCCGTGCTGGGGGAATTCCACCAGACTCACCCAGACAAGTCTGGACCAGCACCACCCTGACGGGCAGAACAATGTAAGAACCTGCAGGACTGGAACCTGGGACCATGGGGCTTGTGCACCACAAACACTTCCACATCACCAATGGAAGTTTAGGCTGGGGTTCTGCTGGAGGGCCCTGTGAAGCTAGGCACTGCAGGAAGTACCGCCCAGCAGTGCTTGAGTGGTAGCCCCCTGCAACCCATTGATTGACTCATACTGCCGTATAAACCAGGAAGCCAGCCTGGGGAGCTGTCTGACCAATGATGCACATGGCTGCTTGCTTCTGCTCCAGACCTCGTCTTGCTGTGGCCCCTAGACTCAGGCTCCTGACTCTGGTTTGTCCCCAACTCTGCTACTTGCCTACTGTCTGTAACCTGGTGCCTGACCCTGACTCCTTGGTATCCTGACCCGTCTCAGCCCCACCCTGCTACTTGTCTCCTCACTGCAACTTGGAGCCCAATCAAGAGACTGGTTAAGCGAGTCCGGGGGCTTGTCACTGTGGTGAACAGGACAATAATGCCTTCAGCACCAAGGATCAGCATTTGAGTAGTATGCAGGGAATTAGCCAGTGCAATGAATGAGCTAGGCTGACTGGATGCTGGCCAGGAATAAGCAGAGCTACCCGGAGAGTAGTGTCCGTCCGTGTCCTGCTGGCCCCCTGGAGCACCCTGGGATAGCAGGACTGCCGGGGCATGGTCTCCCACAGCGCCGGTTTCTGATACGACAGTGTCCTGTACTCACCCTGCCTTCAGTCCTCAGTGTCTGGGCAGACAGAGAGCAGGTCCCGGCTGGGGAGACTCAGCCCTTCAGCTGAGTCCAGCAGGAGCCACCTGAAAACAAACAAACTGATGCGAGTCCACTGGGGGACTCCCTCCCTTCTTTCAAGGGCCCTCTGTCAGGCTGTGGTCCCGCCCAGCACCCACAGGCGGGGCTGGCAAGGGTTCCAAAGCAGTCCTTCGTTCCTTGGGAGGTCCGGGTGGAGCTC